ACTTCAGAAAAAGATTTGCATATTTTTTGGGTACTAACACATTTTTAGTTTCTAAGCGCTTCAATCAATTAATTTTTACTGTTTTAACTAGGAAATTTTTAGAAGAACAAATTTGGTAAACTATGATTTTTTCAAATAGGTGGTGGCTCTTCAACACCTTTGACTTGTGTTGCTATATTAAAAATCTTACGACGCCTCGTGATAATTAAGATCCTCTTTCTCTTGATGACTGCTATTTTCCGCCCTACATCTAGAACTGCACACAGATTAATTATCCGATACTGTCGAATGCTACATAACTTCCTAAATCTGCCCAATTCGCTTCTGGTCGGTCCAGCTCTCTCACTATCTCATCTCACGACGAGATGTCGTCGACGCTCTATGTGCCTCACTCACCTCGGCGTCTGGCACACAAAGGGGTAAGCGGTCAGCTGCTCCGCTTTTTAAGGGACGGCGTGCCGTCACGGCGAAACCCATCGGCGTTCGCCCTGAGTCGGATGTCCGCGCGCCTGTGTCACAGAACCAGTCTTCGCTTCGTCGAAGCGTTGTGGGATTTCTGAGCTTGTCTCAAACGTCATTCTCAGCACCCCACAACACCCACGCTGCTTCGGCAACGCCAAGACGGGTTGTGTGGGCGCCGGCTCCACCGCCGGCCTTGAGATTGATGCCACCGTCCCCGGAGAAGCCGAGCAGCGGAGACCTGCAACGAGACCACGCGGCCCAATCCCGGTTGCAGTCGACGCAGACCGTAGCCGCGGATTGTTCGCTCTTCAGTGTAAACAGGATTTAAAAGGCTCATGACTCGAACTGGTGTGGGCAGTTGCCTGTTGAAAGTGAGAAGAGAGTCAATCGTTGGAAGAATGTCAGTATCAGATTTTTGTAAACATGAACAGTAACGGGGATAGGAAATAGTGTGGGGTTTACATTTGCATCAATATAGAAATAGATTTTTGTCGTAGATATTTATTTTGGCAGAAAACTTTTTCGGTCGCATTGCGGCAATCTTCAGTGGTACAAAAAATAATAACGATGTCTAAATTACTAATAAAATTTTATCTATTGCTGAATATTGTGAATTAATAGAATTTAACCCAAATAGAAAAAATTGGAATATAAAATGCGTGAACAGAAACATAATTTTAAAGAAAGAATACATGAAATAACACAATGTACAAAGTCAGATAATTGATAAAGAAGCCATAAAGTGAGATAACGCGATGTTTATTTGGAATGACATTAAGTGAAGTGAAATAAAAAGGACGAGGACTCTGAACAATGAGCTAAACTGCGGGGGCACTATTATTTATACTTACCAAATATAACCACTTATATTTTCATATCAAATATAAAACTATATCAAAAATTCGTCTAACTCGAATAAATGGAATTTCCTTTTAAAAACAACTGGTTTTTCAATGATATCACGAGACAATAAATCCGTAATTGGTGAACGTGTTAAACCTGCAAAGAAAAACAATTGCTTAACTGGCACCGAACATTAACTTGTGTGATCAGGAATGTTGTTTTATAGTCGGAAATGCTACTGAAGTTTTAATGATTTTGGTTTATCATTTAAAAATAAAGAGAATTGAAGTTCTATAGTAGAAAGGAACTGTTATTTTTGTTTCAATGAGGTCCATTCACTTGTATAATCAAACAAAAAGAAACTATCCTCGTTATTTTCCTCTTGGGTATTTAACGTTTTTTATGCACCCATTTTATGTTTTTAAATACATCTCTAAAATACAAGTCCAAAAAACTAAAAAAATACTGTTTTTAGTAAAATACAAATATTTAAATATTGCCCAACCCCCTTGCATTCCGGGACTCCGCTTACTCTCGGAGGTTTTCTATAGATGAGCGCGGTGGACAGGACGAGGATGGATATCGGACCAGCGAATGGGGACATATGGGGAAGGAAGAGTGCGGCGGCCTCCGCGAACTAGCCGGTATGAAACTACCTAAAGCGGCAAGGCCTTTATCGTTCGCCGCCAGCAACGTAGGATAATATTTCGTAACCGATACGAAGATAATTGGCTGTTCTGGCATATGGTTTTAAATAATTTGCTGGTAACACTGTTCTGCATTTTATCATTTTTGGAACGATCTTTTATGACAAAGGTAATTTTAAAATTATTTTTCATTCTGATTTCAAATTTGATTTTTGTTTTTCTGTAGCGCATAAGGTTTTTGTATAATTTGATGGATACTTTTTTTCATTAAAACTAAATTCTGTTAGTAATCATGCTTATAAGTAAATATCCTTCTCCACTCCAATGCAATGCATTTTAATTCTAAGGGCTAATTATTACGGAAACAGTTTTAATATTACGAATACAAAAGACATAGGTATAGACAATGTAATTTCTTTTATTCGTTTAATTCTCTTCATGTTCTTCAGACTTTACGTGAAACTTCTTTCTTGATAGTCTCCGTTCACTAGTTCCGTCTCTCTTAGTATAAACAGTGAAAGTCAAGTTGTATTCATTGCATCAAGATGTATTCTACCTCCCCTGGTATCTTCCCCATTGCTTTAATGTCCCGGTGGAAATTTTTCCCTTCCTCACATCGCAGAGGTTGGCAGTATGAGAATGTAAATAATGAAGTTTTACACTCACGTTGCATCTTAAATCCATGAAATTCTGCATCCGTGTTTTAACAGTGGTTTTGTATTTATCTTTGTTATTGCCCTAAAACACCCGTAAATTAGCAGCAGCAGCAATAGAAGCCCCTCATCGTCTTTTGAAAGTAATTTAGTGAACCGTTTCATTAAACGAGGCTTGATATGAAATGGAGATGGTATCTTTTCTGTAGCACGTATTATGTCGTCTTTGGCTCGTCTGTCTCATTCCCAAATGAAACATGGCCTGTTTTGTGTAGTTGCATTGACAAACCAACATCCCAACTAATTTCAAACCCCTACAAATTATCCAAGAAGTTTTTGATAGTTTCCAAAGCCAGCAAATCTTTGAGATTTTCATAAGGCTCCTTAAGATGTACTAAATGGGCTACAGGTATGAGGCAAACAAATTTCCAATATATAAAACGTTAACACGAAGCGACGTATTGACCAGTGTTCGTGTATAAACAACCGCCATTGACGTGCATCATAATTCATTAAACCCTTAATATCAAGAGAACGTTACTCCAGATAGTATACGATTTTTTGTTTTCAGTATTTACCCAAGCAATTGAGCGGCATGTTTTGGCAGATTCAAATCACGAGTTAAATCATGAAGTTTGGTGCAGAATCTTCTTCCGGTTTTTAAACATTAGAATCATCGCTTTTATTTTCTGAACTGCTCTAAATAACCTCTGACACATATTCAACAATGGTTGGTAGAACTGGAATAATGAAAGATTTTCAATGCGGAATTGGTCGTTAGCAGAAGAAATGTTGGGATATACTATTACTTTCCGCGTTATGACCTTGAACAGAAACCTTACTAAAATAAGTCGTATACATGATTTTGTGGCTCACTCCACATCATTAAAATCGCAATAGGCATTGATTTTTCACAGCAAATTTCCACAGATTCAACACGAAATACGACATATTACTCGCGCAAGTTTTCTGGAACGATGACCTTGATCCCCTCCCTTGTGCAATAAACAGCTAAAAGCAAAAGCTCGCAGCGGGCACTGATGACAACCTTCCGAGCATTAAAACTTAGTTGGCGCGAAACAGAAGCTAGTCAAAGCCAATTGCTTTCATAGTGCAGAACCCCAGTTCAGGTTTATTGTCAATATCGAAAGAAATGGCTGAGTCAGGTCCAGATCATTCAAGGGAGTCGCCTAAAACTCTCAAAAAAGTTAAGCACAGGATGCAGTTTTGACTTTGATTTCACAGACGTTGGCATTACTTAAAATACTCTAGTGGCCGACTTTGTAACTAATATCCCCCCTCCACCCAAAATCGTCAATCCATCGTTCAAGAAAAGTTGCCCGAGTAATACCTTGTGTGGTGTACAGATTACAAAACCAACAGTATAGCATCATTATAGTATGGAAATAATGAAACACGTTTTTTCTTATCTAATAGAAGGATAGAAGAATGGTCAACTACTCCCTCTTGCCAAAATAATGTTTATTTTCCTCGCAGTGAAGTTTTCCTTCCCGAAAATATGATTTTCAATGAAAAATGAGTTCGCTCAATTTGCAAAAGATCTGTACGTGATAGAAAAAACTAAAAATGTGTTTGGAATCAGTGCAAAAGGATAATTTAGAAAAATTACATGATCATCAAAAATCATATTGCATAGTGTAATCAGATGAACAGCAAACATGAACCTAGAAGATCTACGATAAGCGATTTTGTAAACTCGTCTCTGATAGGCCTCTTAAATTTCGGTGGCGAATGCGTCTGCCGGCGTTATTGGAAGTTCTTGTTCATGGGATGAGTGACCTTGTTTTTATATAAAGACAATATTATTTACCCATCTGAACCCGAGTGGGAGTGAGGGCAGTACTTCTGGATCTACATTCAGCTTCTCTAGTGTGAAATATCAATACTATAAAAGCGATTGCATTCTCATGAAGGATGTACCGTTTTGAAAAATGTCGTAAAAGGTGGGGACGGAGCAGTCGACCGAGGGGCTCGTAAAGTGGATTTCGCCTCAGGAAGCTTGTTAACGTAAATTACCACTTCTCTTCGAGATGCTTTTCCAAGGGCTCATTTCTGAAGGACATCGAACTTTGAACATAATTTGGAGCTCATGAAGCCTTGCTTCTTGAATGCGGCGCAGAAGCCGTGCTTGCAGTCAGCAATGAAGAAAATGTGGACTAGGACTTGGCCTTTGGACCGTTCGTTTCTTTCCAAATTTCCTGTACTAATTTTTAAACAAATAGAAGTAGAAAGTAAATGTAACCACATTTAAAAGTAATTGACACAGTTTTTTTGTTCACATCTTTTTGCATAAAAGTAATAATAAAAATGTGTATTGTGTTTAATTAACTTACCACGCTAACATTTTGTTTTCTTCTTTTTTTTTATTTTTCAGTGAAAATCCACCACCCAATCTTTTGCGGACATACAGTGTAGGCAGTGGCGTGCTTTCAGTACAGTATTCAATTTCGAATACATTGGTTTGTGTAGCAGTTTCATGATATTTATGAAGTGATGTATTTATAAACAATTGTACCGGACTTTCGCATTCCATTTAAATAGTTGTATATTCTTCTGTACACTTGTGGAAAAAATGCTAAAATCATACAGTTTACTTCATACTTTGAAATGCACCTGTTGTTTTAGTATTGCATGGTTTATTTATGTATGCTTAAATTGTTAATGAATTAATTTTTGTCTTTATGTATATTAAGTAGGTTTTGTATGCTTTTGGAAGATCAGGTTTCTGAAGGGTGTGCTATTGCCCATTTTCTTAGTTTCAATGAAGGACTTCTTGTGAGTGACAGGTTAATATTTGCAAACTGTTATCACAGGTTGATTTCTTGTTTGAATTGGTGGAAGTTATTCACCATTGTGATATTTACTAATGGATTCGTAGAAATGACTGAGTCTGTGAATTTATACATTTCTGTAAAATAAATATATTTTCATCACATAAATGGGAGACGTTTACCTAGTTATTTTATATCCTGTACTTCACTTCCGTTACTAATGTGACTAATACTATTTTTAAAATACTTTGATGCAAATTTGTAAGCAAGTGAGTGAACTGAGGAGGTGAAGTGAAGATAGTCTACATGTTACGGCTAATATCCAAATTTGGGTATTTCGTGAGTTAGCCGGTTAATATTATTTTGAAAAATGGCCTGATTAAGTCCAAAGTAGGTACAGTTTGGAAGTACTTCAACAGGATGAAGTGCTCAATAGCCAACACGATGAGAGTAGAGTAGGTGAAGTTTGTTACAAAGGATAATAATAGCATATTTTATGTGATATACAGGAATCAGATTGCTGGTGATATGTTTCAAAGGCAAGTGACACGATTTGAGTTTTACTGTGGCAATCGTAAATTTCTATTTACAGATACCACCAAACATAATCTCAATATAGAGTTGAAGCAGTTGGCGAGTTCAACCTTCAGTCTTTACGATTTACTTAAAGCAAATTCTTTTTATGCCAAAATATTTCTCGCGAACACTGAACATGCTTTGCTCTGGCCGTCCAGCTAAAGTGGTGGCCTGCGGCTAAAGCTATTCTGAACCGGATGATGCCCTGAGTGATCCGAGCCACGTTGGCAATCTGCAAATGAACGTGCTTATTCGCGAATTAACCAATTTCCAGTTTTGGGCTTACACCGACTCCCAGGTATGCCCAATATCAAATTACTACCAGTCTGGCCTTGTGTTCAGAGAAGTACTATCATAATCATAATAGCTAGCCGCTGGAGAGGCCCCGAGTATAGATACGGAATAATTTTATGTCGCAGCACCTGCTCTTGTGGCAATTTCGCAAACACGCAAAATAACCCTGGCATTCCTTTCGACACATCTTTCACTTTTAGTGACCATTGGCAGTCGTGTCTCCAGGGTCGGGGAATGTGGAGCTATCTTTGTTGGGAGAAAAAAAAGGCATCCGGTCCTTGGGTAATCATTCTTTCTCGCTTCATTCATCTTCCAAATAACTCACGTTTACGAAAGAAATATCGTCAAAATTGTCATTTTAAGGATAATATATGTATATAAGGACCAATATTCCACTAATTATTTCCTATGAATATTGTATACTAATCAATATTTTCTGAATATTTGTATTGTATTAAAATATTTCTTTTAATTTCCAAGTTGCAAAGCTTTGAGCAGCAGTGCCTTCGAGCAGTTGTTTCTGTGGGAGGAGAATGATTAGTTGACAGCCAAGAGTGCTTCCCTGAAGGCGCGGACCGCTCCGGCGTCGCTCGAACCGCGACGAGCACAGGGCAATGGCTGAGAGCGCTCCAACTAGAGCCCAGGCGCACCACTGCTGCAGCAAGCCACACCGCCTGTGCGCCCGGGCCGTCACGCCCGCAAAGGGCGAGGAAGAGGCAGCCCACGGCTCGAAGCCAGGGCCGCGCTGCACCAGACGGCCAGAGGAAAGGCGAACTTAGCAAAGTTAGGTTAAGTTAGTTGTAAGAAAGTCTTGTTTATAACGAGAGGATTGACTTCGAATGGAATGGATATTAAATCCATTGACGGCAACTGTTTCCAAGTTCTTGACAACCGAATATACACACGCACTTCGTCTTGTTCAAAGAGCGTCCAATTTGACAGGGCGCAGACGTCAGTTGAGTTGACAACGCACGCTGCGACCTTCCTCACCAATACTATTTTACAGGACTTTCTTTTAGTGAATAATGTTGTTATACACGAAGCCTAATGCTTTTTCTAATTTTTGCCAGTGTTTCTTGGAGTATATTTTATTTTTGTTCGTTTTGCTTCATTGTTTCTAGTAAATTTATTACTCAAGCTATTTATGGATGTAATTTTTGTAAAGTTCAATGTTTTTTTAAATTTCCTGTTAACAATTTATAATTATAAAAGTGTAATATTTCTTTTTCAAGTAGTACAATCATGCGTAAGGGCAAAAGTTATTATGTCAAGGAGAAGAAGATTTTTCGAGAATTTGTGTTATTAAATAAAAATTTTGTGGAAAATAAAAATTCTGATATGGTGTCCGAAAGAAAAAAATGGGAGAAAATATCTCAGGAATTTAATGCTAGATCAGAAAATGGCCCTCTAAGTTTTTTTAAATTTTATTTTTATTTATTTGTCTTGAACGTTTACTTATCTTTCAACTATTTATAGTTAAAATGATGGGAAAGGGTTCTGGAACTCAAGAAAATATGCGTAGGTTATCTTCTCCCCCATACGTCACATACAGTTTTTACTGGTTTTTGAGTAAATAAATCTTAAGTACCTACCTTGAAATATTTCATGTTAGAGATCACTTGAGATTAAAAATGTAAAATACGGAATATTTTAACGGCCACAATAAAGTATAATAATTTGATTAATTATGAATTATTCTTAATTAAATTATGAAGCGTAAACATTTGGAAAGGATGCAGCGTAGAGCAGCTAAATTTACTTTCAGGGACAAGAAAATGCCAGGATGGGATTCACTCGAAAACAGGCGATCAGTAGCAAGAATCTGCGCCTTATATAAAGCTTAAAATAATAATAATAATGTCTTTATTAATGGCGAGGCTCAGGCCATAGGGCCTGCTCTTCCGCCTAACCACTGAATTTACATACATTTAGAATAGTAACATTTTAAGAGGGGATGACAAGCTGTACATTTACGTCTGGGAGAACAAACCTAGGGACCATCCCGGCATACGCCTTAAGCGATTGAGTAAACCCAGAAAAACCTCAATCCTTAACCTCAACCTTATCAACCAAACCTCAAGCTTATAGTGGTAATGAAACTTGGAAAAAAGTTAATCGGCGGCTAAGTATTTCTACATACATCAGTAGGGGGGATCACAGGCACAAAATAAATTTAAGACCGCGGGGGACTCATGTCGGAAAATTTTCTTTCACGAATCGAACGATGACGGAATGGAATAGATTGCCTGCACAAACCTTTGAACCCTTTCCTCGTAGCGTTCAACACTTAATTAAGTGGAAATTAATTTAGGGTATTACTAAGTAAATGAGGGACTTAACTGAGAATAGTAGGTTATAGAGCGATGCGTGATATATTGTTAAGTGAGGTGTCGTGCACTGTAGAACAAATAATGATGGAAGTGATTAAAGGGTCGTAGTGAAGTGCAGTGTGGTCTTAATTGTACAAAAATTAAGTGCGGAGTTCGATAATAGATGTTTCTCTTTTTTAAGGTAATTTAATGTTTTATGAATGAGTGTTTATATCATTTTTATAATTATTATTATTACTATCGTTATTTTATCAGCGGTTTTATTGTTTCTATGATTATTATTGTACAATTATTATTAATATTATTTTATAATTAGCATGTTATCTTATTATCTTATTTATGTAATTAGCTGCCACTGGATTATGCCTATTCGGAGTTCAAATAAATTTATTTTATAAATCAATAATGAATAAAAGTAAAAAAATTAGAAACACATAAAAGAATGAAGTTGCATAAAATCGCAATGCAACGAGGACGTTTAGTAAGGGGGAAATCGGAAGACCTCGTTTAGTCATTGGGACTTGGTCGATCATCCACACCTGTGTCTCCACTACAGTAGTTTTATTGAAACGAAACTGCTAGCGAAATTGTTCATTATTGTACATTTACAATGGGTTGCTCACATCTCTAATATCTTTCTTTGAATTTCGCAGGATGTGTTGAGTATAAAACTCAAAAAAATCATGGAGTTTTTCCATTACAAGTTTCGCAAATGGATCGTTTTAACAGTCTATACTCACTAATGCAAACACCAGCAAAACTAATCAACTCTCGGTGAAAGCCGAGTAAAATCACATAAACTGGGAACGTTTGACGAGACGGGACAACGATAGGAAACATTTAAGGAAGCAGTCTGCCTCGCTTATATGAATGAGTGCTCACTTCAGAGCTGTTTATGAATGCGATTAGTCCACATAAGGGAGCACTCAGTGTACGAATCGATAATGAATTCGGCCCTGAAGCGATCGGATTTGTGTTGGGCTCCGCGCCCCGTGCGGCCGGTCCGTGAACTTCCGGAGGTGAAGCGAATTCGAGACTCGTGGCTGGCTAGGAAGCCCGGGGTCTAACGGCGCCCCTGCCGAAGAGATAAAAGGCGCTGGCCGACTGCGATGTGACGAGACTGAAGAAAAATACTAATTACTTACTATTAGTAACAGAGGATTACTCCAGGGAAAGTGCTCTACGCCCAACAAGGGGTCAAGAGACGCGTTCACTCAACCACGACGCAACGAAATAAAAAAAATCTTCGACTTTATGAACTCTTACTACTATTCACCATGCCAAAATCCGCATCAGCACAGATGTCTATTGGCTGAAAATGGAGACCCGTCTCATAGCCGAAGACGGGAGATTTTAATCTGTTCGTACGGTGCCGTCAGCTGAATGTTCCATCTCGGCAAGCATTCTTGTGCCCAAGTCTCCAACCATACTTACTGAGACCATCTTTACCTAAACTACCTCGTATCAGCTTTCACACTTTGTTGCAGGAACTGCCCCTGTGAAACCTCCCAAAAATCTTGCCCCTCCTTCGAAACTTCTCCGACCTCTAATAGACCTCACCTTGTGCAACTTCCTTAAATCATCAGCTCCCACAACATTTCTGAAACATTCCAATGAATTGGGGGGAACTTATCCTGACTATTATTTTTTGTACAACGATGGCACTGTCATAAGTGAGTCTGGCGTGTGCGTTCTTCTGTAGAGCGGCCACGCTAATTTAAAATTCACCCGTACTAAGCGTAATCCCCATCAAGAAGTTCTTATACTGCAAGCCCTGAAATGATGAGAATCAGGTGCCTCACAACGAGGAGTTATATGCAGCGCTTCCCGACGTGAACTCTAGTTACTGTTAACTTTCTCCTTGGGATCACTGGATTACAACCCTCAACCTTCAACCCTTCACTACTTTTTAAGTCCATTGTCTCGCCACTACGACGTAGTAGTATGTTGGGTACCGGGTCATGTGGGAATCGCAGGCAAAGAGCTAGCTGAAGAAGCCCCGAAAACAGTGACTCGGAAGTCATTATTGACATTCATTATGTCCATTCAACAAATTGAAAAGCATATCTGAAATGCTTTGTATTCAGGTCATGGCAATCAAGAGTGGCTCAATACCACCTATAAATTAAGGCCCGTAAATGATTCTGTAAATCCCTGGTTCCATCAACAAAAATAATCCGCGCTGCTATCTCGAAAGAGGAAAAGGATGTAACCAGCGCACGGGTGCCCAAACTCATCTAATTACATGTTTGCCCGATCCAGTATCGCCCCGGCTGCTCAGTGTGTAGATGCGCGATAGGGCTTTTTCTTATCCTCAAATGCATTAAAACACATGACTGTCTTTAAGTGGATTTAATACCCATTCCATGACCGAGGTGAGGCCTCTCATTATAAACATTAACCATTCTCTTAAAACTAACTTAACCTAAAGTATCTTACATATTCAGGCCAGTTCTCGCCCTTTCAGGCACGGATTAAACATTACTGAAATGGAAAATAAGAAATGGTGAGTGACCCATATCAAAGATTATACCGAAGCTGCACTACTGTTCAATGAAATAAATAATAGAGACAACATATACTCATGTTTCATAATTGACTTTTGAAGAAACTCTTTGAATTCATTCTCAATACTTCTGTTGTCTCAAATGTTCTCTCACGTGGGTCAATTTGTGCAGCAGGGGTCATGGCGGTCTTGCATGACTGACCAAGCGATCTTAGTTACAGATTCCGACGCTTTTGAGTAAATGTGAAAGGAGTAATGGAAAACAAAATACTGCAATGTGGGTACGATAATGTAGGCAATTGCGGCTACATGAACGAGAGTGCCAAGTGATTCAAAATTATACTTTATTTGTAGCGTTGGGGCTGAAACGCAAGCCCCGATGCCATTTGCGCCCCCCCCCCCTGCGGGGCTTCCATGCGAGTCCGTGTGCGCTCTCTCGCCCTGCGCAGCTGCTGTTGGGAGACGTCATTCGAAACGAGAAGAATGAAACACACAACTACCCCAGGAGGAAGATTATTGCCAACTATGTGCGAAATGAAACTCTTGGAACATTTGTTATGCACTTCAGAAAACTTCGAGGCGGCAGTTCAGATTCTGACGCTAACTTCCTTGATGATTAAAATTGATATTTCAGTGAGATATGCGTTATTTTCTCGAAAGATATAATTCTTAATTTATTTTCTTATTCATTAATTAGT